ATATTTTTCTTTTCATTCGTGTAGACCTGTAATATGACTAAATTATTATATTTTTCTTTTCATTCGTGTGACCTGTAATATGCAAATTATTATATTTTTCTTTTCATTCGTGTGACCTGTAATATGCAAATTATTATATATTGTAATTTGACTAAAATTCTTTAAAAAGACACTTTAATGCAATTTAATTACGTCACAAAAGGAAGTAAAACCCGAATTTCATTCATATGAGTTGTAATTTATTATAAATTATTATATCAACTTGGTTCTAAACTTTGCTATCCTTTAATCCTTAAAGATTGATACATTCTTTTTAAAGTTTCTATTTTAGCAAAAGTGGAACCAAACAAACAAACTTATGTTCTTTTCTTTTTTATTTCTTTTTAACAAATTTAAGATTTATTTATAGACTGTTAAATTTTTCAGTAAATTATTTGTTTAATTTTTCTTTCAAGTTAAATAAAAAAATGAAATTAATTGAAATACAATTAAAGAATAAAATATTACAAAAATTAAATTATTACACACCGACAAATACACTCATCCATGAATCTGTTTATGTTCATTTAATGCAAGATATGTGTCACATGAAGAGATAAAGGACAATCTTTCTTTTTTAATCGATCATTTTGTTCAATTGATCAAAGGACAATCTTTTTAATCAATCATTTTATTTCAACTATCAAATTTATACACTTTAACAGAAAATTTCAGCTGAGATTTTTGAAAGCTAAAAAAAATTTTTTTGCCAGTTTTCCAGTCGATCGCTCATTTGTCTTATTATTTCTTTCTTTTTTTTTTTTTTTTATCCCACTTCATTTTCCACTATTCATTGTGCTCATTTGTGCTAATTTTGTTAGATTTGAAAATATTTTTCCTCTTCAATTTTCGAATGGCTTTGTGAAATAAAAAGTAATTCCAAATTGCTCGATGATTCATTCTAATCTATCCTTTGCAAAATTTGTTCCTACCTTATTCAAAAAAATGACTCAGAAAACTTTGGATTAAAAAGTTCAAAAATTTACTTTCTTTGATAAAAAAAAACTTTTTAAAAATTCGATTGGATTAGATAGCTTCAGTTACAAATTAGAATTGCATTAATAGGATGAAAAAAAAAGGATGATTACTTTAATTTTGTAAATGGTAGCTTAATTTTACTGAAATCAAATAACCTCCCTATATCGTATAGAATTATATTATGAATAAAATTACTTAAAATTAGATTTCATATTATTCAATTCATTTCTACTATAATTTTTGTTTTTTTTATCAATTATTTAATCATTTCTAAATTCTATTAAAATTATTTTAATCATTTAATTTAGCGCATATTCTTCGATGACAAATGTACGTTTATTATTTGCTTTACTTTGTAAATTTGTAAACATAATGTTATTATTTTAGATTAGAACGGATTATTAATGTTAGGATTACTAACGATTACAAGCGTATTCCGAAATTGGCGGAATAGCTTACAACGCAAAGTGGAAAACGATAATGAAACAGCTAATGAATATGCAACAAGAGTTAATGCTCAAAAAAGTTATAAATTGGATGAACCACCAATTTCGGCATGATTTTAATTTTATTGATTAACATTTTTTTAATGAAACGTATTTTTTCTCTTGAAATTCGAACATTATCAAATATTAGTTTTGTAAGTTTTGAGATTAATTCAAAAGAAAGTATTATCGATATTATCTAAACATTGGTTCCTTTCGTTTTTCTTTTTGTAAAAATAACATATTCCATCCAAACAGCTGTAACACATGATAACGGATGATCATATCATTATCCTGATATCAATTATATTGCATGATAATTATGATATTAAATGGAGTTAAGCTGATAATCACTTGATTTTACCCATTATATGCACAATTTCTGAAATTAATTCAGAAAAAAAACAGAAAATTTTAGCTAGAAACAGTGATGGCAGAATTCAAATTGTCAAATGAAACACTTCGGCGAATGATGGAACATATGTCACATAATATGGACAAGGGTCTTAAAGGTGGACCTACGAATAGTACTGTATCAATGTTACCATCTTTCGTACCTGAGTTACCTGATGGAACAGGTTATTCTACTTTCCTAATGCCTTTTTAAAATTCTTCAGCTTTTACAAATTAAACCATTTTATAACCTTTATTTAAGCTTAACGCAATTTATTACTAATTAATTAGAAGTCCAACCTAACACACTTCATCACTTTATCATTTCTTCTATCACTTCACTATTACAATTCTTCTATTTTATTCTTGGTCATTGGTTACACTGGTAGCTTTTCTCAAAATCACCGATATTTCAAATTAACAGACAGATTAACTGGAATCACTTTGAGGTTGATACTGTGAATTTTTTTTTTTTTTTGAAAGACTGATATATCAATACCGTAAGTGATACTACAATCAGGTTCCATTCGATCATTTCGATCACTACAATCAGGTTACATTCGATTGAATGACGGTCATGACAATTACTTATGCAAATAGCATCACCTCCTGAGAGAGGAACATCAAAATTTTATGATTACATCCGTTTGACGTAGGCTTAAAAAACTATGCGGTCATTATTTAAATGTTTGTTAAAATGTTTCATCACTTTTACAACAATTCAATGAATTTATAA